GGGGGGGCGCACCCCCCCCCCCCGCCCCTCCCCTGTAGAACCACGCCTCCATATCTGTCCTGGTTCCATCAGTGTGCTCGGGAACTGCTAATAAAAAATGTGGGACTTTTTCGAAGTGAGGCAGCTTCTTGGATGCAGCTTGCTTTCTGCTTCACTGCCCTGTGGATAAGAATTAACTCTTTGGTTCAAAATTTCAGTATTTATAGATATATTTACAGTAGTGTTACCCTGATTCTTTAAGTTCCAGACACAGTTTTCACTACAAATTTCACTCTCAACAAAAAGGCATTTCTCGGTACAATTTGCCCTTTCTGAGGGGTAGCAGTTAGCGATTTCTCCTCGTAAAGACATTAATCGAAGGATTCTGGCATGGTTAACTAAGATGTACATGCGCTGCTTTACAGAAAAATATTCTGTGTTAACACTGTCAATTCGAAGATATTCTATATCGAAAGACACTTTGAATAAAATTAGATGATTCATACTTAAAATAATATACTGGCGCGTTCACCGTAGAATACTTTCTCTGACGAGTTCTCAATTTGAAATAGCCTTTTACGAAAACAAAAACACCACTGGTAATACCTGCACACGCACGTGCTTGATGCTAAATCGCCGTGACTGTTTCCGTTACGTAATGTCAAATGTCAAACACTGTGCATGTATTGTGCTGGTACCCTGTTGTTCGTGGTTTGATCCTTTTGGTGGTGGTTGTCCTTGGTATCCAGAAAAAAAACCCAAATAATCATGCCATACAAATACTGGCCACACAGAAAGGGAAACCAGTTAAACCATGCTACACGTCTACATGTAATTAGCAGCGGTGCGCCGGTGGCATATCCAAGTTTTGGGTCGGGGGAGGGCAAAATCACAAAAGTTTCCGAACAATTAACCCCATTTTCTTCGCCCGAAAAATAATTTGGTAACTATGTATGGGTGTGATTGCGTGTGTGTGTGTGTGGGGGGGTAAATCTTAATAAAGATGTGGGTGCAAAAAAGGTCACCAGAAGACGGGGCAATTGAACCTGCCCTCTCTCTTTTGCATAGGCTACTGATTTGTGGCTATTTTAAAAAAAAAACAGATACATGTATCATTTTTTAACTAAACGATCTCACAGCCACAGTAGGTGAATTTCGTTTGTCTGGATCTAGCCCTTACAACGCCTGATTTTATTGATACTTGGAATGAACTTATAAACATCCACGATTTATAAAAGACATTACACAAGAAACCAACAATGCCCAATTAGAAAATAAACGCATGGCGTTGATATCGAAGAGAGAAAGAGAGAGAGAGACAGGAATGAAATGACCCGTGTGGTTTGGCCACCCCATTTAAAGGGTCATCAGGCCCGATGTTCTCTCCTTTCATGGCAGAAGTCATCATTCGGGCATATTTTTCGGCATCAGTTGGGTGGGCATTTGCATGGACATTTGGGCAGGCATTATAGGCCGTTGCTGGGTCAACAACTGTTTTAGGGAGTTGGCCTCCTGTCGCAAAGTTGCCAGCTGGGCCCGCAAGATGTCGTTCTCCTTCTGCAAAAAGTTGGCTCGCATGGACACCTGATCCTCTCGCCGCTTACGAGAGTCTCGCGATCGTTTGGCCGCCATGTTGTTTCGGCTTCGACGCTCAAAGTATTTCTCGTCCTTTTCGGTGTCGGGGACCGGCCTCTTGCTGTTTCTCCTCTTGGTGCTGGAGGACGTGCACTGAGTCGGCACTGAAACAAAATGCAACACGAGTCGTGCACATGAGTACAAATCGTTGCATATTATGTGTGAATCGACCTTAGAAACAAAGTTGAAACAAAAGATTAATAGATTCACGAAACGTGACTTACTGTTACTCATCATGTCGATGTTGTTGTTGTTCGTGATATTTGCCACACCCTGGACCATCATCTGTTCAGGAGACACCATCTCCTGCCCTGCTGGGCCTCCGGGCTGGATGACCATTTGTGGGACCGGCATTGAAGCCTGCGGGTTGTTGAGCTGAATGAGATGGGGCGCCAGGCCCATGTTGAGGTTGGAAACGTGATTGGTCCCGGCCATCATGCCGGCCGGCATGTTGATGGACGGCAGAGGGGCGGCGGCAGCGGTGGCCGGCATGGTGTAGGCGTTGTCTGACGAGGTAGAGGTCGTCAACAGCTGGCTAGAGATCGGCGTTTGCATTTGGGAGGACGGCACCATGGCGTGGAGGTCGGCCTGGTCACCCTGTTGAATGGATACCGGGCTGGCGAGGCTGGAGGGAGGCATCAGGTTAACCAGGGCCGTCTTCTCTTCATCTCTTGAATCGGTATCACCAGGTGGGGAGGCGCCTGGAAAGCAAAAAGGCACAAACGTAAAACTGTGTACGAGAACATTTTTCAGTTAGAAAAAAAAACTTAAGTTTAACACCACACAGTTCACTGATTCATTTTATTGCTGATGAAATTAATTTTTGCTCATGATTTTCTTGTTGTTGACTGCATGCGTCTTTATTCGTAGTGACCACCACACCGACGCTAATTACATGTACATGTACCTTGATTGTTGAGCGTCAAGGCCTGCTCATTAGATGGTGTAGGCGACATCATCTTGTGCCCAGCGTTTTGAGCATGAGCCGCTTGCACGGCATGTAGAAATTGCTGTTGCTGTTGCAACTGCTGTTGCTGCACGGCGAGTTGCAAGGCCGACAGGCCGCCCATATCGTTAGCTGCCTGGAGCGCTTGGCCTAGGAGGGACGAGTTGGCCACCTGCATGGGCAGAAGCGGCGGTGGGGAAGCCATGTTGACGGACACCGCCCCCGATGTGGCGGGCTGGACGGGTAGGCCCGGCACGGAGCTAATGCTGGTGCCGGACGAGCCGGCGGCAGCCGGCACCGGCACCGGCACCATGCCGCCGTCTGCTATGCCGCTCATCTCCTGTGCCTGCGCCTGGGCTTGGTAAGCCGCTGCAACTGCGGCTGCCACTGCTTTAGCATACTGCTGCTCGGATCCTGGCCGCTGTTGTCCTTGATGCTGCTGTTGTTGCTGGGGTTGTGAGGACTGTGGCTGCATAGCGATGGGTGAAGTTGGAGTCTGACTTGTATTTGACGCCGAGCCGTTTGGGCTCATTCCTTCCAAAGTCAGCTCTCGGTAATACCCCGTAGACCGGGAACGCTCCTCCGAGTCTAAGAGAAAATAATGACAGAAAGGAAGAAGGCCATCGTTAAATCCTCTGGACAAAGGACTGAAAATTGCGAATGAACATGAAATGGTTTCAGATCGCAGGAAACGATTGGACTTCTCTTTCAATATAGGGAACAAAGAGTTGCAGTTGTGACGTGTTAAGAGTGGTTTGGACTATAGCTTACACGCACCGCGTTCACTTGATTTTTTTTACTGCGATTTTTTAAGTGTAATTTGAACTGCAAGAACTGTAGGTGTGGTGGGGGTTAGTTGAACAAGTTTTAACCGTCACATTCATACATGTAAGATCGTGGGGGTTTAAGATTCTTTTCATTTCCGATGCTGCATAGTAACTGAAGGCCAGGAGAAGACAAGACTCTTGCCTAACAACGGGGAGGTGCCTTACTGGGCCATTTTGGGGTGGGGTGGGGCATGCATGTGCCATTATTCGACATTGCTTTGTGGTCCCTAAGTCCTTTCTATTATTTTGAAGTTTTAATTGTCTTCACTCGCTCTTCTGTAAATGAGATCCTTCTCATTTGATCCATCTATAATTTGATCTGTCTTCAAAATTTTACCTCCTTAGATCTAAGATTTGTCTTGTCTCGATTCAAGATGATCGATTCGTGGACTAGATCTGTCTAGTCCTAGTTTATGATTTTTTTTTCAGGAGTAATGGGGAACATTGAGGTTAAGCGGCCCTTTCCCACAGTTCAGACGAGGCATCGATTTGCTTTGGACTCAAACGTCGTTTTAAATCACAGAGCTTTGTCTTGAACTGACAACATGAATGCTGGAAATTAATGAGGCATTTCAACATGAAATTCGTCGGCAACTCCCATGCATATGCATGTGAGCTTGGTGGTTTGCACACGGCAAAATGACGGAAGCAATAGATGAAGTGCTAGGTTGGTCTTCGCGAAACTTGGGCGCAAAAGGGATTCTGTTTTGTAACAGGGATAAGAATATCTGGTACTTCAAACTGACAAAACTGAACAGAAAATCAATCTAAGATATGGAGAAAGATGTAAATTTGATATTTTCCAGTTATTTCGTTTTATTTTGCGTTATTTTTGTTGTTTGTTTTGTTTCGATTTTTTAAAAAGAGGGTTTTCATCATTTATTCTTCTGTGATCTATCCGGGCATCCAGATGCTTAAACACGTTACGCTCAGGAGAAACAGCGACACCATGCAGCTTAAATGCTATCCACCTCGAGCAGAAGCACCCACTCATCGGTTGAAAAGAGCGATGTTGGTCAGGAATGTTCATTTTGTTGGTTGTTACGCGACCGTAACGCGTGCATTTCCTAGTCGTTCGTGAACCAGCGAAGTTCAGTTCTGACCAAAGGCGCCTACGTTACTAAGAAAATAACGCCCTCTATAGGTCCAGCATGAGGCCTATGAGCAACCTAGTGAACGTGCATTGTCAGATTTACAAGCCCATAGGCAGCAGCGGGATCTGTAGTTGATCATCTAAAATGCAAGCGCAACTGGGAGGCGAGAACACTCAAACCGTCAGGATGATGGCTTCAGCATCCGTCGCGCGGTCATTGACTGGGTTTTGATAGCCACGCGCAATATCGCTCCGATTTACATATACATGTATATGTACACGTATTTCTGCATGTAGGCCCAATCTTTCCGCGGGGACTTTGATTGCCTCGTCGTCAACTTGTAGATGATCGACTTGATGGGAAAAACGTCAGTTTTGTACACAACCTATGTGGGACGATCCAGCGGATTTTGTGCGAGCCGGGGATTGGTTCACATGCTAAGAGTGGATACATTTTTATGAGCAATCGATCGATTTTTTAACTATAGTGTGGGCTGAATGAACGTAACGACTCGAAATGAAATATAAGAGACGATGTAATTGTTGGTAGAACAAGCCACCGAGATACTGGGGATAACAAGCGCTGTTAAAAAAACAAACAAACGAACAAACACCCCAACAAACAAACAACTGAGCAACTACAACAGTAAAATCACATCCGTCAACTTGCCGAAAAGATTTAGCAGGTCGGCCATTTTGAAATTGGCTTGTGCACTAATTAACTGACTGAAGACAGTATGACTACGCGTATTATAGTCATTACTCCGAGGATTTGTAGTCTGGGTTGTAAGGGCACAGAGTTAAATGACTAAAATAAAGACAATATATCAGAATTAGCATACATTTTATTTCAAGAGAAAGCCGTCAAAGCAAATCAAGTACATTCACCGTTTAACGCCGTCAGATCTGCAAAGTGCACCCAGGTGTGGCGAAGAAATTCCATTAACTAGTGAATGAATCCCAACCTGCATAGCCCTGTGCCGCCATTGGGTATTACCTCAGAAATGCGTTGCATTATGTAATTCGCCGTTCGCCTAACACATGTAATTATAATGAATAACGGAGAGAGGTAGACATTTATTAAGTACATTACCAAGTCGTTCGTTTTGTCCTAACCCGACACAGCATATCACTTCTACTGACGTAAAGCTGATGTATTTTAACTGACGACGCCAAAACCGATTATTTGGTGACTTTTCATCATGTCCAGAAACTCTTTCAATTCCAAAGAGTGAAAATTCACCCATTCGAGTAAAACATTTCCTTCCGTTTGAAACTATGTGGACCAGACGAATTCAAGTGAATCTTCACTCCAAATATAAATCGAGATTTCACTCCGCTTTCCACGGACAGGGACTCTTGTTCAAACTATTTCTATCAATTAAAATCAAAGTGATTTCAGTCTAAAATCGTCTTTTCCCTGTCTCACACTTTCGAATCCATAGAGAGAATAGCATGTGTGTCGAGAGCATTGGCGGCCAGACTATAGCTTGTCAGACACGTTTTTTATCCCTCGACTCAGGCATGAGTTCACTGACCCCTTGTTCGCATATTTCCCGCTTTCATCATTGAGCTAGCAACACTGGACATCCATGCTCCCCTTTACAAAGCGTGCGCGTGGAGATACACGCATGTAAGCAGCTGTAAACAACATTCGAATCGAGTGGATAAATCTTTCATTTATAATTTTAAAATGGCGATTTTTGTCATTGGTATCAAAAATAAAGAAATAACAATTTCTTGTACGCATAAAACCAAGTAATATGTATCCAGAGGAAAAATCACGCACTGTGATGACTTCCTGAGTCCGACCAATTCCAACCATAACGAGTGGGAAAAGCGTTGCTTTCTCCATAGTTACAAAGCATCCTCAGAAATGTAAAACTGAAACAACAGCTTATTTGAAGACTATTCCCGATGTTTCCTTTTTGATTGTTGCATTCTACTTCAATTGTTTTGATTCTTGCTCATGACACACGGCATGAACATAAAATAGTGGTGGAAATGCACACACCACATCAGTAACACTTGTATCAAACCCAAACAGACCTTAAGCTTGCATTTACGAATGTGTGAATTTCCAGGAATAGCCCCCAAACTGGTAAAAAAAATACTTTAAAGTCACCAAATGCAGAACTGACCATCCATAGTTTACATGTTCATATATATCAATTTTGCACAAGTACTTTATAATACGAACACAGTGGGATCCATCTCCATGAATACATATGTAGGTTTTAAGTAGACCAGGGACAGTATGTTTTCACGATGCTTTGTCCCTGCCCAACCGTGTTCTAACATACATCGTATCACATTAGACTAAGATCGGACCATGGCCAGATGTTTCTGTTAACGAATTTCAGCTTCTCAAAACACAATTCTGAGACATGTGACAACTTATGACTAGACAAATCCCCTTGGGCTTGCATAACAGCGACCTCCCTCCATTCCATGCTCTTGCGGCACCTTACGGAAGGGCCGAAAAGGGCGTATACAGAATTCGATATGTGTTAGGCAACATTACGCAAGATGGCGTCCATTGTTTGTCCAGGTTTATTGAACACAGCGGTTATCCAAGGCGAATCCTCTAAGCCGCGCGGCCCGATGGCCGTGGTCGAGGCGCAAGGAGAGAAAATTACGGCAAATTACGTAATGAAACTGCTGAAATAGCAGCCACAACACCACACTTGCAAGACACGAGGCCAGATTCGAACGTGAGCTCCCACGATGATGTTGAGAGAGGGTCAGTCTCTTAGCAAGTTTCGTCCGAGAAACAACCGGCGAAAATTTGGGGGTGTCCGCTGGGGAAGGTATCGCATGAACCTACCGGTATGACCATTGCGTTTCCTCGTCACGCGTACTCGATCATCAAGAGTCTACAGACACATGTGAAATATGAGGGCATTTTCACCACGAACAGACTCGTATCTTGAATGGACCATAGAGCATGGACAGACTGTGAACTAAGGCAACTTGGAAAAGCCGGTTTTCGTCAAGCGTAATGAAGTGAGAACCTTTATTTTACATCGATTAGTTCCTTGTAAACCCGTTGCACTGTTAATTCTGTTTTTAATTTCCTTGAGGCTTTTTACTGATCAACTGTAGCGAGTGGAGGACCATTCATGCCATCGGAACCCCGACTTACCTGCCGATGTTGAAAGTCGAGTGTTTCTCTTAGCGAATGAGCTGATGGGTGGGATAGTCGTAGTATCTTGGGCTTCATCAAACTGAGAAAAAGCCCCGTAGTTCGGGCTCCTCTCACTCATTTTCTGTTTTGCGATGGCGAGTTCTGGCACTGCGTATAATGCACGATACTGCACTGTATAGGCGAGGGTTACATTTTTACATAGCCTGAATGTTACGTGGTTTGGTTTGGGTGACCAGAGGTGGTCGTGTACGTCTGCTGATTACGGGGGCGCTGGACCGGACCTTGAATCTGCATATGCATGACACCACATACAATGCAACGTGCAGCCTACGCGTACATTACATATTGATTATGCAAGACTGACCACAAGTATGTTATCGGGCCACGAACAAAGACCGTGGGCTGAAGACGAGGTCTGAGAGGTGACAACATTGATGGTAATATGCCGAACAGTTGGCTTGGATCAAAATTCATATGTTACGTCATGATTTTTAGCGCATGGAAATGGTCATCTTTTCTGGAGGACGCTAGTTGTCCTTCGGGGGGGGGGGTTGGACCTGTTGGCTGAATTATGCAAATGACTCAGTCAAGGATTTCTGTGAAGCTGGCCAGCGTGTTTATGATTATGAGAAAAAGCCAGACGTACAAGGCCGTTGGTCTGGTCATAATAACGGCCTGTGACCAATAGCTGTGAGTGGAAATGAAGAGTAATTTCACTTGTACGTGTATGCAACCCTGCTCGTATTTCTCTGAATCCTCTCTACTCGTCTTTGTTCAGTTATTGGATGAGGCATGTCGGCTAGAAGTGACTATATGACAGTATACGTGTGTAAACTTTGATCCGCCATTTCCCTCGAATTTTGACAATAGCCTGACTCGATCAAAAAGAAATATTCATAATTTACTGAACTTGTCACTGCATGTGCAATACACATCGTCTTTCGAAGACGGAGAAAGAAATAACAATTGTCACACCCACACCTAAAATGAAAAAGTGGGGCTGGGTTTGGATTCATCATCTTTCCAAATTGCAAATTTTGAAAAGGGAATGGAAATTTATCTCGTGTTTATTATAATTATTGTTTTATACAAAATACGCCAATAAAAAGGTACAAACTGGGTTTCACTAGGTCCCTGTATGGTTAAATGTTTGGTACAATTACAGTATAAAATCAGGATGAAATTAAATCCATCATTGACCAGTAAAAACGCAAGGCTAACACTTACACATGTACTGTTGATACACACTAACAGGTCCATATGATTACTAACTCCAGAAAAAAGTGTTCCACACAAATGCTTTTTGAAAATAAACAGAACCCTAAACAAAACTTGCAACCAATTTTTCAACTACATGTAAATAAAAGACTAAGTGAAAGACTTCACAGAAGACAGTGTACAATGTGTATCTACTTTATAATCATGCAGGATGGATCCCTTGTGCTACTGCGTAAATTGTGCTAACTTTAAATTAATTATTGGTTATCTGAGTGTGTTTCCGGTAAAGTACTCTGTCTATCTTTTAGTACCGACTATCGATTTGTTTTTTGTTTCCAACAAAGGACTAACACCACCATAAAAAAAATACAAAAGCTTCTTAAAGAGTTCCACTCATAAACGGAAATATGTAACGCCGTTCCTGAACTTATTGCTATTCGTAAGTCGTGAAGAAACACACATTCTTCTCCCCTAAAAAAAGAAAACGCAAAAGTTGTAGGTAGAACCGTTACCTACCTTTTACATGTATTTCCAGCTAAATATTTTGGAAAAGGTCTTTTTTGTTGACGACTTATGCAAAATGATAGGGTCGGGAATAGCGTAGCCAATAAGCCGCTTGCGAGTTAAATTTGAATAAAATCTGGTACACTGTGTTATCTGATTGCACAGAAACGTAACAATTTGAATTCCCCAGACTAAAGACACTGTTGCTATGCCTCGTGATTCGGGGCAAGCTTTTGCATAGCGACCACCATCTCTGGAATGGACTGGTTCCTTTGAGCCGTTCTTATCCATTGAGAACAGTGTATTGTTGCAAGGCGTCTCTTGTGTAACTAAGCAAAAGCTTGCCCCGAATCACAAGGTATTGCAACAGCGGTTTTAGTATGGAGAATTCAATTTTTTATGTTCACGTGAATTTAAATAATTCATTGTACCAGATTTTATTCAAATTTAACTCGCAAATGCCTTATTTCTACTCTCTCGTGGAACTTCACCATTCTCTAAAACTAGTCATCGGTATGAACGTCATCTCAAGTGGCACACGTATCACCACCTTCATCAGTCATGGATATCCTGTTCTAAATTAATTCTCTGAATGATGAACAGATATTGCATTAATACATCCCGGCGTTGCTAGGAAGAATTGCAGCCGCTGATCAATATGCTTCTCAGTTTCCCCCATGTAGATGGAGATTTTCCAAAGTCCAAAAGTAACTTTTAACTTTGCTTTCTGTTTTCAGTTTGATATTCGGTTTTTGTGTGGACTTGAATTTTGTTTCGCTTTGATTATTGATTTGAAAAGGTACTTCACGCTGTATACCCCCAAAAATATATTGTGAAAGCGGCTGGCAGGCAGCAAGGAGTGGCGGTCGCATGTAAAAAGAGGTTTAAATGTGCCCTGCTTAGAGCTGTATGACTGACATGAGAAACATTGTACAACAAATTCGTGCCTTCTTATTCAACTCTGACAACCTCATACTGGTTGCCGTAATCTTTTTCCTTTTCCTGGGAACGCCCGGTCTTGCGATCGAGGTTGCTGTACTCTCCTTCGTGCTCTCCTGATTGGAGCAGACTCCCGTACTTCCTGTCAGCGTCCTCCGCACTGCGCATGCTGGCCGCCCTTTGATTTCTCTCCAGGTGACTGTACTGATCGCCCGAATCGGGGGCCGTCAGCCCGAGAGCATCGTAGTCGTGTTCTTTACCCAAAGCATTTGCTGTGGGTGGCGTGATCACAGCACGATCAAGATGGCTGTAGTCTTCATCAAGTTTGACATCCCCGGCGTCGGCATCAGGCGGCGGATTTGGCTTCTCGGGTATGGCGTATGTAGCGCCTCCAACGATGCAATGCCGGGGATTAGATTTGAATGTGTCGATTGCCTCGGCGTACGTGTTGCCACAATAGCGCCTTTCCTCTAGCTCGGTATATTCGTCTTTAGCAGCTGTGTGAAAGACGAAACCCACAATTATTTCAGCCAGATACTTTTGCCCTTTTGCCGTATTGTAAATTCTTCATTCACTCTGTGTTTTCGCTTTTAATTTTAGCAAAAGGCTAACGCTCTTCACCGAAATCAACGGAGATAAAGTTGTTTACCTGCTGCAGTATTATAACAGACATAAGGCGAAATGGAGAGAGCATCAGTCCTGCAAAAAAGTTCCAAATGCAGAAGACTACCATCAGAAGATAAAATTCCCCGCAAATCTAGTTATAGCAAGTTTGTATAAAAAAAAATCTGAACCACTGGTAGATGGGCATGGGAGTAAATTCGGATTTCAACGGAGCAGTACAGGTGTATTTATACGTGTATTGTGTAAAAAAAACGTACAACCGGGAAGAAGTGAAAAGATGGCACAATCGCCTGCAGTCGCTACAGGCAGTAGAAAAGGAAACCACAACTACCGTAAGATACAGGGCACAGTGACATGGCCTTACTTCATCTGTCAACCACTGGTCAACTTTGCCAGGTGTCCAGGCTGTATTGTGTGGATAAGTTACCAAGAAAACTCGATCAGTGAGGCGACCAGAATGGTAGTCGGTCACATTTGCCAACAATTGTCCATTTTCCGCTGAAAGTGCGCCCCCAATTTACGTGCGCTGTTTTTCTACAGCGCGAAACATCCTCAATTCACCTAACTCAGCAAGTGCACTTACCTGTTCTCCTTGCCTTGTTTACGTCTGTGTTGGAGAAAGAACACCAGAGCTACGATCAAACCGACCAGGACGACTCCAGCTATTACTGAACCAATTACAGCACCTGTTGCAGACGAGCTTCGACCGCCGGGATCTCTTGGGTTGGGACCAGCCGAGGAAGGAGGTGGTCCCTTCTTTGCTGAAATCGTAAATATCCAGGGCAGAATTTTGTCAGGATTCTTCCCTAATTCAGGATTTTCAAACAATCTCCGTCTTCTAAAATCAGGAAAATCCTCCATGATGGGAGTGTTATTCAGAGTAAACCACAGACACTCCACCGGCTGTGGGGCCCTCAAAACTGTTGGTGATTGTATTGTGGATTTCCATTCTCCTCTAATGTCAACCCTGAAATATCCAGTTTATAGTTCACAGTAGAACCGTCCTTTGGAGACCGGAATTTTTAAGGAAACACAGGGCTGTGTCAGGCCCATCCGTCTAACTTGAAAAAAAAATGAGGCTGAAATAAATTTCTTTGCTGAAATAAATTTCTTTGAAGAGAAACAGAATATAATATAGTATACATACAAATTGGATTTTTTTTTGTAATGAACCGGCATCGTTAAGGTCTTGGGATTTGGGAAAATCTCATGATGCTTATCATCTTGTTATGCATAAGGAGACAACATACAGTGCCACGTTTAAATAAAAGCTCACCTTTGCACGCTCCATCCAAGCGGTCACACGTCTCGGTTAGATTATCACAACTGCATACATTTCTGCAGTTACTTCCGAAGTAACCATCAGGGCATTCACGAGAACAACTATATTGAAATAATCAAAATAAATGCAGGTCCTATAAGCTAAGGAATAGTTTACTTCAGATTTCGCAGTAATAGTCGAGAACTCGTTACACACTTGAGCAAAGCTCGACACAACAGTTTGAGGGAGTAAATGTGTGGCAGTGGTTTCAGGGAAAAAATGATTGGGAGGGGAAATTTCCAGACGAGAGACTGGAGAAATGAAAGCCTCTCACAAATCGGCGTACTTTAATCCGTAGAATCCTGGGGGACATGAACAGCTTCCATCTATGGGACTGCACTCCAGCGCTTCCTCGGGACAGTCACAAGTCCGGGAGCAGTTGGATCCGTAGTACCAGGGCTCACAGGGGTCACCACAGGTTAAGCCGCTCCAGCCAGCCGGGCATTCACAGGCGCCCAGAGCATCACACGTCGCGTTGTGCTCACACCGGCACAACTGGTTGCAGGAGGGCCCAAAGTAGCCATCTGGGCAGCTACGTACAGGAACAAGACGTTTACAGGTTAGGAAATAAAGGAACAAGTCAATGAACGAATCTAACTCGCGGTACGTATCATGAAAGAAACTCCTATCTTTAATATCTCGTGAAAGTGACTATATGTTAATTGACTCTCACCCAGGCAAGAAATTGCAGGTTCCCCCGGAGTCATCGCGCCAGTCCAGCGGACATTCGCACATGTTTGTGTGGTGGTTACACTTTTGGCCGTTCACGCAGGCATAGTTACAGGTCATGTTGCTGCAAAGACGGCCTCTCCCTACTCCAGAACAGCTACTGTTGAGCGGTTGACAACTTGCATCGGCAACGCCTTTTCTACACGTGCAAAAGCCATCCACCGGATCGCAGTGATATCCCTCCTCGCACGAACAGACGCTCGCACAATTTATGCCATACTGTCCCTCGTCGCATTCTGTGGTTGCGATTTTAAAGAAAACTTAATGTGTTTGTTAGTTACACGTAAACGGTTTTGTGATGTGCAAGGTGTCTAACAAAACGGCCGCGTCTTCACACTGTCCTTGAAGGGTGAGGGGGCGCTTATCAGTCGGTTCCAAGCATAGCCAACATTCAGCTTATAAAACATTCTGAAAGGATTGCAGGAATAAGCCCAACATTGGGAGAATATGGGCCAACATGTATGATAGTGATTTGGATAGTTGTATATAGACTCTTTATCTAAACACCGATTCTGACGGAATAGACGGTTACTTTATGCCTCTGAGCCGACTAAGCGATTTTTCGGCTTCTTCGAATATATCACTTAACCACAACATAATCACACTTGCAAAACCAGGTATGCCTTTTCAGTTGTCAACAAAATGGCTGATGAATATTTCTTTTCTTCAGAACTCATAGCGCCCTCAATGTGAAAGAAGCCATCGTTGCAAGAACATGCTCGTTTGCATTTCCTTCGAGCTTTTGCACCGATTCATTGTGTGTTACATTTCAACGAGTGTTTTGAATACGAGACGTTCCAAATACAAACGTGTGTCAACTGTCTTAGCCCCAATATAGAAGTTATAAGTATTATGTTTATCAAATCCTAATTTTCGATTAAATCCCCGATTTACATTTCTGGAGACTGGGAGGAGTACGCTCCAAACTAAGAGGTTAGTGATGGTATCTCATGCACAGCATTAAGTCCGAACACATTTATTTGAAATTTCTGCCGAAATTGAATAAAGTCGGTTTGGTTGAGGGAAAAAAGGAGGTAAGCTGCGAGTTGTTGGGGTCCAATTGGTGTATCCACTGTTCTCTGTTCTACATCTAAGTGAGCATTAAGATCTCTGTTATACGATGACCCTGAGAAATTAAGTGATGAAGGAGAAAGATTCTAAGACCTACCTCTGCATACTCCACCTTCCATTTTCCTTCCAGGACAGCAATCACACAGCTTTTTCTTCTCCAATCTGTACTCGATGTACTCTCTGGAAAGAAAGTAACAATCAGGTCACGTAGCCCTAATAGCCACTAATGAAAGGATAAAACGTGAAGACTATGAAAGGAGAGGACAACAGGGGTATAAGAATATTGGCAGATGTATGTAATTTAAAATCCAAGACTGCTTTGCCGGTAAAATTTCTTGCTACTGTTGCACACAGTATATACATGGAAACGCACAATCATTGCGACCTCCATAGCTTCCGAACCTTGTGGGGAACGAGTTCCGAAAAATTCAAACATTTTCTGGAAACTTTTCCAATTTATTTGATATTACTGTTACTCGTCCACCCAGGCTCTTTTTTGTTTTAAATTAACGGGGGGTAGATTTCTCATTAGAAGTTAAATCACAGTTAAAGTTTCCTTCAAATCACTTCGAATGTGTTGACATCATGAGAGAGAGTCATCATGGCGGAAACCCCATAATAGCATGACGTATTCTCTACTTCCCACTTTAAGGCTTGCGTTGTTGACTTTAGATTTGCATTCAAGGCTCGAGTGTTTGTCTTTCGCTGTACAGTTTCAACCCAACACTCGGTCACATTATACGGGATGATGTCATTTCCAGCATCGCTTAACATTTCACCGTAAAAGTGGAGGCGTTGGTCCTATGGTGTTGATCGTGATCTCTATCCCAGATTTGGAGTCTTAAAACCCCGACAATAGTGTGTAAACAAACCCTCTAGCTACCAAAAGGAGAAAAATTGAAGTGAAATTCAGCCCACACCTTTCACAGAGCCACAGACAATACCACGGTCGCCTTGTAGTTCTGGTGCTGACAGTAACGTACCTGTTATACCTGCATTAATATAAAGACATCAGGGTGCATGAAGTTTGTGTCATGGGCGACCAAAAGACGTCAAAGTATATACCACGTGACCACTCGGTTTGGGCCACCATTACCGACGGCAGCCACCCTTTCAAAGTAAGTGAACGACGCACGCGGGAGACTCGAAATTAGGGCTCATTTTCACGGAAACTTAATAACCGTGAATTCTTTATCAAAAAAATGACATGATGCATTGTCATCATCTGTGCCATGTTACTTGTCGTTAAAATCCAGTTCTAGATAGGTGCTGGTTCTGCCGTTTGCTCTAACATCATTTGCTATAACACTTCAAGACTTGTCAACTCTATGCGAATAAAACAATTTTGTTTTCAATCCTGTCTTTTATATGTTCATGAAAATGTCTTATTTTATCCATTCTGTGTAATATGGTTGTTACATGTTGGTAGGGGTCTGAGTAAACACATCCTTTCTGATGACAGTTGTTAAACTGTACACATTTACTATCCTTGTCACCATCGATCAACATGTCATCAAGTTTTATTCCAAATATCAAGAGACGTTTAGGTCAGAGCAGTACTGTGCGGTAAACCGAAACTGCTATACAAAGCCATTGCGAAATAAACCAGTCACTTCTTCCTTCACCATTTATTTATTGGTATGTTTCACTTTCGTTATCTCACGGCAGGCTTTTTAAAATGCCTCTTCCAAAGTTCAAGTGTATGTTTGCAGTAAATAACTTACTGAAAAGAGACTCACATTAAATGTTGGGAGGGTACAAGGTAATATTTGAAGGGATGCCCCATCTTCTTTTAGAGGGGAGGGGTGGCACTTGGTTTTTACTGGTGTATCGTCAATTTTAATTAGCTTTAGTTTCAAACACGATGCAAGGGATCAAATATATTACGAAAGTCCAGGGTCTGTAATTTGGCAGTCGGTTTTGATTAGGGAATGATGTAAGGGAGCAGTTTCGAATTCACGTTTAAACCACAGATGGCGTAATTAGGATCATAATCGGTGTATCTTGAGGGACACACTGGCTTAATACATGTATTTAGAATCAGTACATGCGATAGTTACTGTCTGTGCCTGGTGGTCACTGGGTCCGTTTTGGACAGTCCCATCAGTTCTCTCTAAATCCAATAGAGTGAAGCTAGGGACAAGACGATTTAGAGTGAAAATCACTCTCGATTTAGAGTGAAATACTCACGTCAGTCAGAGCTCGAGTGAAAACTCGATCTTTTCGATTGAAGAAATTTCACTCTAAAAAGTCTGGTCCCTAGTTTCCGACTGCGGGAATCTTCACTCGAAAAGATTGAGTTTTCACTCTTTGGGGTGCAGACCACTAATTCAAGTGAGAATTTCTGACCAGCTCATTAGCATTAAAAGTGCCCC